CACCATTGTAGGAGTTGCTGCCTGTTTCTGGCTGAGTGCAGTGCCTTTGCCCTGCGCTAGCAGGAGTCTCCCTCCTGGCCGTTCCTGCTCGCCTGCCAGTGCAAACGCCAACACAAACACCGGTGCGCTCTTACAGAAGGCGCCTGTTTGCGCGCTCTGTTTGTGCGGCTCGGGAGTGTGGCTCCCTACTGGCTCAGTTAAGAGGGATCCGGGGGGCTTCCCCTCCAGATCCGGCTCAGCTGCATCGGTCCCTCTGCCCCACTTACCTTAGGGGGTTCAGCTGCTGCTGCCCCCGCTGCTGCTGCTGCATTCGCCTCTGCTGCTGCTGCTGCGTTTGCCTCTGGTCCAGGTCCAGTACGGGGGCACACATGCGTGCGGGACACAAGTGTGCCTGGATCCCTCCTCTCCCCGCTGCTCCTGGCTCCCAAGTGCCTCCTGGCTCTCGAGTGAATTCTATAATTCTAGGCCCCAGTTTGTTAGAAAAGTTTCTTGTTTTTGTTGTTGTTTTTTTTAATTAGAGAAAAGCATGCATTGTGTTGTGGGATTATAAACATGTAGGGATTGTACAGGTGAAGAAATGAAAAGGAAATTATTTAGTTATTGGTATTTGTGCAAAAGAACCTTTATTTCTTTTCTCAGTGATGCCAGGGATTTTTACAGTCGTATGCGGGGCAGAGATAAAGCTGACAGACGTGCTGATCAGGAGGCGAATAGATGGGGCAGAAACGGAGGAGACCTCAAGCGCTATAGACCAAGGAACCTCCCTAGAAGATACTAATGCAGCTTGTAAAAGATTTTGGCATTTCCATTTTCTTTCTGTTTTGCAAGGTTGTAACAAGTACAATTCATGACATGCTTTCAGTGAAATAGCAAATCTTCACAGTCATAATGGAGAGGAAAAAATACAGGTTACAAGCTGTTGGGGTGCAGAGAAAAGCCAGCTGCTAACTGCTCAAGGTTTGTAAGTATGCATTATAATTTACTGAATAAACATGTATGTCTGCATTTTTGTTTACTGATTGTCCTTTATTCAGTTTTTTATTCAGTCCTGTGCAGGAGATGGTACGTGCCAGAGCCGTGGGCAGATCTTGGATTTTGAAAAGGGAGGTGCTGGCGGTATCGTGTGTCATCCCATAACACAATGCATGCTTTTCTAATAAACTGGGGCCTAGAATTATAGAATTCAGTTTATGATCCAAGCCAAAACCAATATAACTGTGTCTGTCAGGGGTTGGCCACCAGCTCCAGACTGGGACAGGAACCTAGTGCTAGAGCAGGGGCAGGCAATTATTTTGGGCAGAGGGCTGCTAACTTAATTTTGGCAAGCCCTTGAGGGCTACCTGACAAGCAGCGCAGGGCAGATAAATATTAATTTTTTAGGGGCCCCGTGGGCCGGATTG